TTGGGTACTCCAACACTGGAAGTTTTTCAGAAGAGACTGGACAGCCGTTTGTCTGAAAGGGTATATAGGGTGTCCTGCCTGAGCAGGGGGTTGGACTAGATGACCTCCAAGGTCCCTTCCAACTTTATTATGATGATGATGATCAAAATTCAAGATGCTTGGCAACTGACTCATACCTATGACAGTTTTTAAGAGACTGGACAGCCATTTGTCTGCAAGGGTATAAGGCTTCCTGCCTGAGCAGGGGGTTGGACTAGATGACCTCCAAGGTCCCTTCCAACTCTATTATTACTATTATTAGATTCTTGCAGCTCCCCTCCTCCTCCTTTCCAAGGCCAGAAGCGAAATGTGGCTCTTTGTAACCGTTATGAATGGGATATTGAGACATTTTTAGGGGAAGGGGATACCTCTGGTTTATAAAGGCGGGTAATAATAGAAACCCCTCACTCGCCTATAGCCGAAGGAGACACTCAACGGAGGCGGCGGCCTCTCAGGCCGAGAGAAACCTCACCAGGCGGGCTCTCACACCATCCAGGCAGCTTCTCCCCCACCCCGGTCCTCCGGCTCCGAAGCGGCCTCTTCCCGGCCACCGGTTGCCCGCCGCCCGGTCAGAGGACAGGAGAGACCCCTCCTCACCCTGCGCCAAAGTCGCAGCTTCGCCCCCGGAAGCGGAAATGACTCGGATCTATAGAGTAGCAACCGAGGAGGGGAAAGAGCGCGCAACAGTAGGCCCCCTCCCTGCGGCCCTCGGATTGGTCAAAGCAGGTCGTGTGACTGCGAGGGCGTCAGCCAATCCAAGCTCGGGTTGGCTCCCTTCAGAATGTTCAGGTCAGGCGCGAACGAGTCGGCGGCGGGGCTTCTACTAGTTCAGAGATGCGCAGGCGCAGAAAGCATCCTTCGTTCTGCAGGTTCTAATCGGCGGGTTCGAATCCCGAGCGCCGCCTGTGAAGACGTTTGGCTGTGGCTGAATCCTGTTCTGAATTGTTCCTTTGTCTGAAACCACGTGAGATATCCCCACCTGGTGCTTTCCTGGTATGTTAAGTCGAGCTTGCCCATTTTAAGAGGTGTGGACTTCCAACTCCCAGAATTCCCCAGCCTGGCTGGCATCTTCAGGAGTTTTGTGACCTCCAAAATGCAAAATCCAATCCTGAGCTACAGATACAGGCCATCCTCGACTTACAGCCATTCCTTTAGTGACCGAAAACATCACGGCACTGCAAAAACTGACTTATGAGCGCGTTTCACACCTGCGACTGCTGCAACGTCACCAATGGTCATGTGATCAAAATTCAGACGCAACTGACTCGTATTTATGACGGTTGCAGTATCCCGGGGTCACGTGATCCCCTTTTGCGACCTTCTGATCAGCAAAGTCAATGGGGGAAGCCAGGTTCACTTAACAACCGTGTTACTAACTTAACAACTGCAGTGATTCACTTAACAACAGTGGCAAGAAAACTCACTTAACAAATGTCTCACTTAGCCACAGAAATGTGGGGCTCAATTGTGGTCGTAAAGTAGAGATGGAAATGCCTGGAAAAAAAACCCAGAAAAATGGGGGGAAAAACGAGTTTTTTCCCGTTTTTTCCAAAGCTATTTGGGAAAACCAGAAAAAAAACTGTTTTTTTTTTCAATTTTCCCATTTTTTCCCCAGGCCTTCCCATCTCTACAAATCAAGGACTTAATGGAATTCTTTTTTCTATTGGAACCGCATATGGGTGTCACATGCTTCAGAAAGCATGCACATGGGAGAAAGATGCATGTAAGCAAACTGTACTTTTTTTCTGAATGAAAGCCTGTAAACAGGTAGCAATCCCCACCCTCCTTCACACTGATGCTATTACCTAGTTGGGTAATGAAACGTCGGCAACCAAACCATCAAGCTCAAAAAGCACCAAGAACTCCACAAATGGGAATCTTCCCGGCAGTGCTGTGCTTTCAAGTAGGAACAACCCAGAAACCTTAAAAAAGAAATCCTTATTCAGACATTAATCTTTCCACCCATTGCATTTGAGCAGCTCCACCCTATCAGTCAAGATTGCAGAAAGCACGCAAAGCAGAGCTTCTGGAATCCTGACTGGCATATATATTATGCAGGCTTACTTATTCTTTGCGCCTTCTTAATTTTTTTTATTTAATTATTATTATGTTTGTAGAAATTCATCAAGAGTCTTTTCAGAGTCTGGCAATCCACCAATATGTTATAAATAAATCCCATGGCTTAATACTGGTACTCATTTAGCGACCACATTGGGACTGCCAATTGGTCATTAAGTGAAGTAGTTCTTAAGTGAATTTACAATTGTGCTTACCATTTTTCTTCAGCTTTCCTTTGCTTTACAAGCCTGAGAAGGTTGTTAAAAAATCTGGAATTTGGAGGCATTTATCCGGCTTTTTTAAAAGATGGGCAATTTTTCCCCCCTTTATGCATTGCTTACAAATATGTAATCCTTAGGCCTTTTGATGGAACCGAATATATGCAAAGCATGCTGGCTGGAACTGAAACAAATCCAGACGGATGCGGATGATTATTATGGGTTATTGGGATAGCACACTTTTAACAGTAGAAAAATAACCATCCACCATCCTGGATTTCTGGGTTATACACTGTTTTTCATGGCTACCTAAAAGTACTGATTCAGTTGCCATGTCCACTTTAAAGCAAACCTCTAAAAAAAAGAGAGAGAGAGATCACCTCCATTCATAAATAGAACACCCTGCTTTGAAGAGAGAGAAGAAATATAGTTAGGAATACAATGAGAATAATGATTCGTTGCACACAGAAGTCACCAGATAAGTCTTTGTAATTTTTTTCAAGTAGAAAGAATCTCAAAAACACAATTTAAACTTTTTTCGAAAAACTACTGTCAGCAAGATTAGGTTCGTGGCTCGATGCCGTATAAAAACAGATTCACGTATACAAGTAATCCTCGACTTACGACACAATGGGGACCAGACTATCCATTACAAAGCAAGGTGTTTGTTAAGTGAGTCACTCCCGGTTTTACCACCTTTTGTGCCATGGTTGTTAAGTGAATCACTGCAGTCTTTAAATGAATTGGGCTCAATTGTGGTCGTAAGTCGAGGGCTATCTGTATTCACAGACTCCTTGGAAGTGAGTTAAGGCACAATAAAATATTATCTCATGCATCGTGATGATATGTATTTACTCCCCGTTTATTTTGAACGGAGGTCCACAGTGGGCATACCAGGACACCCCCCCCCCTTATAGCCAAGGATGATGTGATGGCAGCCTCTGAAAGGCCCTTGTATACCTATCCTTGTGACACACTAGCAATCTGGCCATAGGCAAAGGCATCCAGTAAAGTCACACAATAAGTCACAAACATCCTGGCACCGTCAGTGCGATTACCTCATGACATGTACAACCACTTCTCTCCTTTATGTCATGTTAAGTGCAGAAACTGTTAAAAGAGGACAAAGTCCAGAAATATTCAACCATTGATCTAGATTTAACTGTCCTGGGGGGTGTTTGTGTGTGGGTGGGGGGAACCCTATCATTTGTGCATGGCCCAAAGGCACTTCTGTGGGGTTTTTTTTTATATACGTGGGTGCACACACATTTTAAGAAACAGTTCAGTGACTGATACACATGTACGAAAAAAGTGGCATGCATAACTGAGCTGTGGTGGCGCAGTGGTTACAAGGCAGTATTGCAGGCTAATTCTGCCCACTGCCAGCAGTTCGATCCTGACCGGGGCAACAGGCTGACTCTGTAAACCGCTTAGAGAGGGGCTGTAAAGCACCGTGAAGCGGTATATAACCCTAAGTGCGATTACTATTTGTTAGACCACCATCCTCAGTTGTGCTTTGACATCACGCTAAGCCCTAAAATACAGATAGTCCTCAACTTGACAACAGTTCATTTAGCAACTGTTTGAAGTTACAACAACACCGAGAAAAGTGACGTGTGACTGTTTTTCACACTTAGACCATGGCAGCATCCCACGATCAAAATTCAGACGCTTGGCAACTGACTCCTATTTATCATGGTTGCAATATCCCGGGGTCACGCAATCCCCTTTTGTAACCTTCTGACAAGCAAAGTCAGTGGGGAAGCCAGATTCACTTAACGACTGTGTTACTAACTGCAGGGACTCACTTAGCAACGGGGGCAAAAAGATCGTAAAAACAGGCAAAACTCACTTAACAAGAGTCCCGCTTAGCAACAGAAATTTTGGGCTCAGTTGCAGTTGTAAGTCAAGGACTATCTGTATTATTTTCCCGCCTAGGTTCATGCATCACACGGAGCCAAACACAACAAAACCATCCCTCAGCTTGGCGGGAATTCAAACATCTACCCCAGTGGTGGCGAACCTATGGCACGGGTGCCGTTGCCCCAGCCTTGCCTCCCCCCGCGACCCCCTCCTCTCCAGCAGCCCCCCTGAAGGAGAGTCGCCCTCGAGCGTGGCCCACACGGAGCAGCGCAGCCAAGGACATGGCAGCCAGGCAGCGTAGAGAAGACTCTGCCCTCACGCCCCATCATGCAGTTGATGCTGCAGAGCGCAGGCAGAGGGTGTGGCCGGCATGGCGCTGCTGGGCTGCCCGGATGATCTGCGGCGGGCCCTGGAGGTGGTGAGTGGTCCTGTGGGCAGGCAGGGCAGGGGATGGGGGGCAGAGCAGGGGCAGGGCAGGGGGGTGGAGCGGGGACAGGGCCAGTTTTTGGGCACTCGGTCTCTAAAAGGTTCGCCATCACTGATCTACCGTTCTCGCTGCTCCGATTTGATACACGGAGAACCGCGGAAGAGAAAACAGGATGTGTGCGTGGAGCCCTCCCCCCTTAATTCTGCAGTCTCTCTTCCATTATTCCACCATTAGTGCAATCTTCTTCCCTTCCCTGTTTCTTCACATCTTCTCCTTGCACAGAGGGCTGTCCCAGCAGAGATCCTTACTAGCTTTTCCCTCCATGAGTTGCCAGCAAGAAATAAACCGTTCATTGGTTTTCTCCCGAGTCCAAAAGGGAGACTGCGGCCCTTCCGTCACACGGCTGTGGTGTTCCCCATTTCTAGTTCTTCTTCATCCTCTTTGTACTGACTGGGGAACATGCTGCTCCCCACCAAAGTTGCCACCCCTTCGGGCTCTGGGTCTCCGGGCAGCGCCAGAGGGACGGTGACGCCCGAGTGGACCGAATAAGCATCAAGCAAGAATTCCTGCTCTGCTCGTTCTGCATAGTTCGTAGCGGAAGGCAGGACCACGTCACTCAAGCTGGGGCCGCCGTAGGGTGAAAATCCGGAAAACCGGCCAAATTCCTCAAACAGGTCCGGCAGGGTGATGCGGTCCATGCTGGCCAGGAAACCCCTGTCTTCCGGAGAGGGCAGGGAGAAGTCTGCAAACGAAACAAGGATTCAGGGTTTAGCAATCCAGAGATCCCATAGCCATTCCGGTTCGCCTCCCTTGAAATCAGCGTTGCAACAGCACAGCGCCGACGTATGGCCACAATTGAGCCCCAACGTTCCGTTGCTAAGTGAGACCATTGTTAAGCGGGTTTGGCCCTGTTTTACGACCTTTCCTGCCACAGTTGTTAAGTGAATCACTGCAGTTAAGTTAGGAACATAGTTGTTAAGTGAATCCGGCTTCCCCACTGACTTTGCTTGTCAGAAGGTCGCAAAAGGGGGTCGCAAAAGGGGGGACACTGCAACCGTCATAAGTACATGCCAGTTGCCAAGCCTTTGAATTTGGATCATGTGATCACAGGAATGCTGCAATCGTCATTAAGTATGAAAAATGGTTGTAAATCACATTTCCCAGTGCCGGTGTGACTTCCAACAGTCACTGAATGAAGGCTTGTTAAGTTGAGAACTACCCATAGAACTAATAACTCTTCTGTTTGTCTGTTTGTAACCTTCAACTGGGCAAAACGGTGTATCACAGGGCAACAATTTTTGAATCAACATACCTCAGATGTTAGCTTAAGCCACGGGTGTCAAACACTGCGTCACATGTGTCGTGACGTATTGTGACTTTTTTTTTTGCATTGCCGGAGCTGGGGTGGGTGGGGCCTCTGCATGAGGCAACCGGCCCACCGGCCAGTGGTTTGACACCCCTGACTGAAACAATGCAACCACACAATAAAAACCCAGCCCCTTTTACATGCAACGTATGGGTGAGGCTTTGATGACATTTCCATGGCCACCAGTGGCGTTTATTTTCTCCTGCTTGTGCCTGAAAGCAGATCCACTCAGGGAAGGTCCATGGTGACAACTTTATTGTGTTCTGCCTATATTACAAGAATCTCCCCTGCCTTCCCTTGGGAAAAACCCGATACGTTTCTATAGAACTTAGTGGGAGTAAGGCTTATTCCTCTTCTGGCTGCACAAAGATTCAAGGCTAGTTCCCTGCTTGACATCTCCTTCCAGTCTGGCTGGGAATTTTCCCAACACCTCTCCAGCCCCTGAGTGAGACTCTTTCTAGGGATCATGCAGGACTTCAACTCAGCACAGGAGAATGGTCTTCAGATGTTTCTAGGGTGGTATTTCCCAACCTTGACCACTTCCAACTCTGTAGATTTCAGCTCCCAGAATTCCCATCCGTGGCCATGTTGACTAGGGGATTCTGGGATCTGAAGTTAGTGGAAATGCACGCGGTTAGGAGATAGTGTTCTAGTATGCGCTGACCAAGGGAGGGGAGGGGGCGTCACACACTGACCTACTGAAGGAGTCAAGTTGAAGTGATCCAGATAGTCGGGCTTCTTCTTCTTCCTTTTTGCGTCAATCCCATGAGGATCTGGAGAAGGAGACAGGACATTAATGTCAGGGCACCAAGGTCAGGTTTTTCCCCAGGCATGCTCCAAGCTCGCCGACTCAGATCTAGGAACGGCTTTAGGTCAAGAACAAACATTCTTGAGGGGACGTAAGAACAAAACCGAATTAAAAGATGGAGGAAGGAGACCATCAAGCTAGGAATAACACTAAAGGAGGATGTGGCTGAAGGATCCGACCTCCGTTATGCTACTTGGAAGACCCTGAATAGGTTGAGGGTTGGAGCGTTTAAGCGTAAGACCAATATGCTCAAGTGTAGGCTTTTAGTGGATAACAACACCCGGTGTGAATGCGGAGAGACGTAGAGCCCGGCTCATCTGCCAGTATGTCGGTTACTACCAGAAACATGTACCGACAATGATGTATTTTTGGCCAATGACAAAGCCAAAAGGTGGCTTCGTTTTGGCAGTTTAAAATTTGATCTGGACATCAAAGAAGAAGAAAAAACCAAGAGCAGGTTATCCCTCTCAAGCGCCCGGGAAATCAGGAAATTCAGGCAGTTCAAATGAATATAAAGATTGATCACAAACTTAAGCTCTCTACAAGAATCTGGCCAACTAACAGTCAAGGGAAATGAGCGGGAGATATGAGAGGCCTTCAAGATGGGCTGAACATAGATCTCTTGCGAGCTCGCAAGGACTCATGGCTGATGACGTGTTTGATCCCTCCTGCCTCGGGCTCAGCCTGGTCATCTGGTACAATCTCCACTCATTTCTACCAGCATAATGTTGCACAGTTTTTAGCCCCAAAGGATACACACCTGGACCAGAAAGTTCTTCCAAGACGTCAGGCATACCTTGCTTCCGTTTTTTATTCACCCGGTATGTATCTGTGTAAAGAAAGAACGGTACATTTATTCTGAAAGATCCTACTCCAGGTCAGGGCTGTCCCAAAGGTGCTTTTTCCACCTTCTGGACAAAGAGGACCACTGGTATGAAAGAGGGGTCAAAGAGGCCATCTATACGACATCACCTGGTTTGCAACACAAGTCATTTTGGCAGTTCCAGGAAGGTGCCACACCTATTTGCACTACTCAAGTGACCCTGAGGGTACAGATAAACCTCCAAGTGGCCTGAACGACTCTCAGAGAGAGTACTAACAACCAGATGACTGCAAGGAACATACATTCTTCCAAGTCCAGTTGCCTTTTGGGTAAAAAAAAAATGGTTGTAAGTCAAAGATTCCTTGTAATGGGTGGCTTCTCCGGTTCCTGTCTTACCTGTGTCTTTGGGCAGGTAGGTGAAAGGGAATGGTTCGCTGGAGACACTGTCCGTCAAGCGACGCAGGTACACCTCCACTTCCACGGGCTCCAGGATGTCGAGGTGTTGGTACGGGGGGGTCTTGAAGACGATGGCAATTTGCCGATGGACGTCTGCTTGGGAAAAATCAGCTCTGCCCTCCCAAGCGTCTTTCCGGAAAACGACAGAGATGTCTTCTGCCAAGCAGATGGAGAAGCAATGATTAGCGTGGCTGGGAACCAAAATTCAAGGACTCTACATTCTCCTGCCTTCTTGGGCTGCCCTGTATTTAATCAGGGTTTCTCAAGCTTTGCGGACTTCAACTCCCAGAATTCCTCAGCCAGCAAAGCGACGAGGGCAAAGAGCTACCGACGAGCTTTCTCTCTGAAGCTGCTTTTCTTTTAAAAGCTACAACAGTGTGTCTCAAGCTCAGCAACTTGAAGATGGGTGGACTTCAACTCCCAGCATTCCCCAGCCAGCATGTTCTGTGCCTGGAACTATAGAGGGGAACCTGATTTGATCAAATTAGTAGAATGGGGAGGGGGTATTTAAGATCCCTGGAGTTTTCCCCATCCCCACCCCACCCCGGTACCTTTCTGGACTTTGTCACACAGCAAATAAAATTCCTCGCCACCCGTGCAGCTTCCCTGTTCTTTGTTCATCCGGTAGATTTTGAGTTCTGATGTGTTTGTGGATTCTGCGCAGAGGGAAAGCGAAGGAATTAGGTTTTTTTTCCCCCGCTTTGCATAAGTCGATGAAGACAAGACATTTAGGCAAGAAAAACCAAATGTACATGTATAGTATAGGTGGCACCTTGCTCAATAGTAGTAACTGTGAGAGGGACCTCGGAGTCCTAGTGGACAATCACTTAAATAGGAGCCAGCCGTGTGCTGCGGCTACCAAAAAAGCCAACACAGTGCTGAGCTGCATTAATAGAGGGATAGAATCAAGATCACGTGAAGTATTAATACCACTTTACAAGGCCTTGGTAAGGCCACACTTGGAATACTGCATCCAGTTTTGGTCACCACGATGTAAAAAAGAGGTTGAGACTCTAGAAAGAGTACAGAGAAGAGCAACAAAGATGATTAGGGGACTGGAGGCTAAAGCATATAAGGAACGGCTGCTGGAATTGGGTATGTCTAGTTTAATGAAGAGAAGGATGAGGGGGGACATGATAGCAGTGTTCCAATATCTCAGGGGCTGCCACAAAGAAGAGGGAGTCAAGCTATTTTCCAAGGCGCCTGAAGGCAGGACAAGAAGCAACGGGTGGAAGCTAACCAAAGAGAGAAGCAACCTAGAACTAAGGAGAAATTTCCTGACAGAACAATTAACCAGTGGAACAACCTGCCTCCAGAAGCGGTGAATGCTCCAATACTGGAAGTTTTTTAGAAGAGACTGGACAGCCATTTGTCCGAAATGGTATAGGGTTTCCTGCCTGAGCTGGGGGTTGGACTAGATGACCTCCAAGATCCCTTCCAACTTTTTTTTTTATTATTATTATTATTATTATTATTATTATTATTATTATTATTATTATTATTATTATTATTATTATTATTATTATTATTATTATTATTATTATAATATACGTGTCCCAGGATAACGTTGCAGGATCCAATCTGAGTCAGTCACCGGGACCAGAGATGTAGTTTTCCGAGCTTTCAGACTTGTGCTGGTTCCCGTCCTCAGGAAAATATCTATGGAGACTCTTAGTCATCCAAATCCTGGTTTTCTCAAAGATGCTTTTGGAAAACTGGACTTTCTTTGTTTGTTTTTTTCCTTCTCATCGCAGAAGCTTCATCCGTTCTGGCTGAATGATGTCAGAACTAGTCTTTCCATCCTCGCCGCCTCTATCCAGCCAGAACGGATGAAGCTTCTTCAATGAACAGTGAAATATCTTCTTCTTCTTCCTCAAAGGAAAAAAAGAATATACAGTTGCCTTTTGAAAAAGCACCTTTGAGACATCCCCAGGGAATCTGTCTCTCTCCATTCTCCATTCTGGAGAGAGAGAGAGAAGTTCCTGATATTGGCTCCAGCCTGAAAACTTGGAAGAATAAAGCTTTGGTCCTTGTGAGTGACTCACTACACATAAACACAAAAAGAACACACACACACACATACACAAACCAACCCTCAACTGGACCCATGTCAGGGAAACGTTGGTTTGCAGAAAACCCTGCACAGACTTCAGTATAGACCCCCAAATACAACCAGGGGCAACAAAACCTACCCAAAGGTGTAGGTTATTTCAAGGGGCAACAACAGTGAAAAACCCACCATAATTGCGTAATGATGCATAAAAGTTTCTTTTTTATTGACCGCCAGATAACAAAGACCATGCCAGCCTTGGCGGGG